CAGTGTCACAGGGCAGAGATTTTTTTGGGGGAGAAACCAAGGTGTCATTCTGCCACAACATCTAGCCGGGTCGCAGGTACAGACAGGTCCAGGAGTGGGATATGGGGTGGGTGGAGAGGAACAAGGTAGGGGACTGAATTGGGTCCCCATACGCTGAGGCTTCCTTTCTGGGGCAGGGACGGTACCTCCTCATACGTTGCCTTCCCTCACTGTTCCCATCTCCCGGCCACCCTAAGAAGCATGACCAGCACGACCCACACCCCAATAATAAATCCCAATTTATTAAAAGATGAGACCTTCTTTAATTTATTTCCTCTTTATTTCTTCTCAAATGCTTTCTTTTTTACTTCTTTTTTTCCCCTTCAGTGGCTCACCTTCTTTTCACCATCCTCCCTCCACACTATTTCCTTTTCACCTCTCATTTCATTATCCAGCCCCAGCCCATTAAATCTTTACCTCTCAGCTTCCTGTTCCCATCACCCAGCCCATCTTTCACACATGCCTGCTTAGAGCTAGGACAGGAGTCTGTCCTAGCTCACCACCTTGTAGTGGCAACTCACAGCTGTAGCTCTTAGTCAGGCCCCTGCTCACCAGTCCTCTAGTCCAGTGGTTTTCAACCTTTTTTGTACCAGGACCCATTTGTAAACATTGATGGCCATTCCCGACCCAGTGCCCCTTAATCCTGATCTACTGCCCCCTACCCCCATGTCTCAGACCCCAGTGGTGATGCATAGGGTGTGCATGGGGTTGCACGTGCACCCCCTGAGGATGCCAGGGCACCCCTTGACCAGCTGCACTTGCTGCTTAGGCTATGGGCAGGGGGGGCAAGCGGGAGCTTCTGGGAGCAGCTGTAGTGATTGGCCGGTGCTTGCTCCCAGAAGCGGCCGCAGTGATCGGCCATCGTGGAATCGCCAGGGGGACCCCCCCCGGCAGTCTGCAGGATCACCTGTGGGGGCGGTGGGGAAGAGTCCCTTGACTTAGGCAGCACGAGTAGTACATGCCAGACACCCAGTGTGTGGGACAGGGGAGGGTATGCGGGGGGCATGGAGGGTCCCAAGCAGCCCCTTGAAGGCTGAAACTCTGCCAGCCTGCAAGGGAGAAGCCATGATCTCCCACATTTTTCTTTTTGAAAGGAGAATCCATTTTTAAAGTTTTAAAGTTTGTTGGTCACCCTTTCATACATGCTTGCGACTCACTTTTGGGTCGCGCCCCGCAGGTTGAGAAACACTGCTCTGGTGGCATGTCACAGCTGTGCTGCTGGGGGACATTCAGAAAATGCTTTTAGCCTTAAGGTGTGACTACTCCAAACTCAAGCGAGCACCACCACTGACCAGTATTTGACCAGCTCCAAGTGCAATGTGTAACAAGGCTTTCACCTTTAAAATCCATGGCCTAGCTTGGTCAGGCAGTCCCTTTGGCTTGGAGATGATGCTCTCAGGCGGGTATATATACAGTGTGGTAGCAGTACTCTCCGTCCTTGATACCCCTGAGAGCACCTGGCCAGTACACCTCAAACCCAGAATAGCACCAGTCTGCTTGGACAGACATTGGTCTCTCATGTGCCCGAGAGTGACTGCTAGGGATGGCTCTAGCACCTCTTCTTTGATGTTCTTCTGGGTTTAGAGCAGGCTTGGGTGGGTCCAGCCAGATCAGGCTGCTGGTGAAATGTAGGCATAAGCTGTTTGTGGTGGCCGGAGAAGGGGGTTGGAAAAAAAGGTGGTGTTTGCCTCTACCAGAGGATCTTCATAATGGCATGTGGGTAAGAAAAGTAAACATTTAAAGCTGCAACAACTTATTTTCCTGAGTTTGTAATGTATTTTGAACTGACCACAGAGTTTCAACCTCTTTTCTACATCCTAGGAACTAATTTTTCAAAGGTCTGTGGTTGACTCATACTCTTTCATATGAGCTTTCATTTGATATTAGTTGCCTTGCAACTGGGACTATACCATCCTATATGCAATTTCCCCACTTCTAAAGGTTCTTCGGGGGGAGGAAGCCCTCATTTCTCAAATTTAGAGTCTTAATTCTTGTTTGGGAAGCTAAAGGCAGCTCTGTAGTTTGAGATGCTAAAGGCAGTTCTTTACTTAGAAATTCCTTGGTCAGCAAAAACACGTGGTACAGAATGTATGTTTTGGCAGCTATCAATATGGTACATATCATCTATGCCAAGGAAGTGTATATCCTTTTCCTGGACATCACTTCTTCAGTGTTGTGTTGAGGAAATGTGTTGGGGAAATGGTGCTCTGTTAATGGACTCAAAGCCATTGTAATTTCACATTTTAAATCTTACTCTCGGAAGGTGCTGCCCTGGGCAGGTTTAGCATTTCTGGGCTTATTTGGGTCAGAAACCCTGGTAACACAAAGGGCCTGTAATGTCTCTCAACTATATGGCTGATCCCATAAAAGCTATCACCAGAAGATATCACCATATTGCCCAAATGATCACAGTTACAGGAGCCCTCTAATCCTACTTAATGAAATGGGCCATTTATACTCAATCCAAGAACTGGCATGTAACTTGACCAAGAGAGACAAAGAAACCGCATGTAAACAGTTTTGATATATCTTAGTCCTATCAGCGTCTCTGTGCAGACGTTGGGTGAAGCTGATAGAACCAGCTTGCATTTGGTCAGATTATTATTTTACAGTCGGTTTTATCTAAATTTGCTTTTGCCCTGAGTAAATAGTATTTAGCCACAGGTCACTGAATAACATTTTGGCATTACACCAGAAAGCAGGACAGCCGGCATGGTGATAGAGTCCGTCTCCTTGAGACAATCACAATGAACTGTAAGATAAGCATAATTTAAACAAAAAACTCAGTTTACGTAGAGTTGAACCAAACATTTATTGCACAGGATTGCATTCATTTCATAAGCAAGGAAAAGGTCACCAAGAAAGTTAACTGGAATCCAATATGCAGGATGGAAAGTAAAGTGTTTAAGGACTTGGAAAATCTTTGGGAATTCTGTTATTGGGAATAGGGAAGCATATGCCCATTACTAGCTAAAACTTGATTATTATTGCATCTAAAGTTACTGCAGTAGTAATTGCAATTGATGGACATGCTTAAGGACTAATATATAAGCGTATCGTCATTATAGTTTTACCCAGAGTTCAATGTATGCCAAAAACATTGGGAATGGATTTCTTAAATCCTCCATTCTGTTCTTTTCTAAATAACATGGTCACAAGGAAGACCAAGTGATGCCGCAGAATATTATTTTATTTCAGTGGTGCATTTGCAGGTAGCTGGACACTTTTCTTTCACCATATCATTGCAACCAAACAGCTCTTTTAAGGTGCTGCAGTCTGAGTCTGCATCGCGGAACCTGCAAGGGTTGGCTGAAGTAAAGCACAGAATAAATAGTGAGACATTAAAGGACATCATAGGGAGAAAATTGTTTCCTTTTTAAAATGTAATCTTCAGTTCCTTGCCTTTATAGCCTAAGTAGTCTCAACAGCCTCTGGGCCTTATCTTGCACTCAGTTAAATAGGCTTCATCTGATTTCAGTGAAAGCAAAATCAGATTTTTTTCTTGTGCTTAGGCCAACACAAATTTAATTCACTGGCATTCATTGAATGCCACTTTGAAGAGGAAGAAGATCCACTATGCCATGAAGTGTGTTGAAAAGTCAATACGCCCAAATCAGCCCTGCTGTAGATCTTTTCAAACATCACAGTTAAACCCCGGCTGTTCTATAAAACTGTATATACGTAAAAAGATGGTTTATTTTCATTCTGGTTTGAAATGACTGCCTTGAAAACAAACCAGGCCCAAAATAGCACTTTTCATTTGAAGCTCTTGAAATGAAGCTCTGTTGAATTAAACTTCAGAAGAGACTTATGAGATAATAAGTGCTATATTCCCAATTTTAGAGACAAGACATCCGAAAACCAGAAGTGGAAATTATTTCCCTTTCAGACTATCAACATACTTTGTCTTGCAACAAACATAGGTCTACAAGGCTTCAGTGCACACTACAAATTTATATGGATAGATGCACCTTAGCAATTTCATTCACACTTGAGCTTTGCAGGTTTTAGAGAGTGGTATAGTAAATTGAATGTTTAATGTAGTGCATCATTCTCCCCAGTAGAGGGCACAGATATCATCACATTGATTAGATAATCTACTATGTGAATTCAGCCGTGAAAGAACATCCCTCAAAGTATGTTACTTACTGCAAAGTCCATTTTCACATGCATCCGGACAATCACCACATTTTGGTCCCTCTTTGTAAGGCGTAGCTAAGTGCTCTACAATATTCCCTCTGAAATTATAAAGACATCCAATGTAAAGTGTGATCAGAATTGCATCCCCTGACCGTTTCAAAGGACCTTAAAAGAGTATATTTGGCAGAAGTGCTGACATATGAAGCATGTTCCTAAATGATCGTGTGTTTTACCATGCTAGTATAAAAAGTATTTTGATTTAAAAGGAAAGGAAATTAGCCATACTTTCTGCACTTACTTTTAAATAATATTATTTTAACAACACCAACGACAAAAACAAATGCTAGCAACTTCCATCAAATAACTTCCAAATATTCCCGGGTGTTAATGAAATAAGCCTTTCAATACCCTTCTGCTGTGTGTAATTATTAGAGATGAAACTTGACCTCCTCATTCCCAAAATATTCTCTGAAAAGCCAGCTCATACTCAGTTATGTTTGTGGCCTTTTTTTTTTTTTTGCTTTCCATGAGTATCTGAGTACTTGTTCTCCCATTCATCTGTCCACTGAACAGTACACTTAAGGGCTTTGTGAAGTCCCCCCTCTGCCCATCATAACATAAAATAAAACAAACTTTAATAATCTGGTTACATATCAGTGCATGGGAGTATCAGCTTTGCTTCCTTTGCATCTAAAGATGTTCACAACCTTGATACCTGAAAATTTATGTCCAATTAAATTAGGATATATGTACTAACTTCTAGGTGAGACTTTTGAACAAGCACACGCCTTCCTGTTTCCCCATTTTTAATGTGTGGGAACCACAGAAGACTGAAAAGATATGCAGAAATATTTCATAATATTTCATAATGAAGGAAGTTCATGTTGATACGTACGCAGGACAGTACTGGCAAACGTAGAAGTAATTAAACTGATCGTTAGGACAATAAGCAACCGAGCATCCGATCTGGTAAGAACTATACCAGACTACCTGCAGGCATGAAAATAAATGCAATAGATTAGGGTCATGTTTTATTCAGAGATGATTCATGGACTATGCAAACTCTCACACAACATGTGCCATACTCATGAGTAGGGAATATCCCTTTAGAAGCTGCAGTGATTGCTTTAACAGGCAAGTAATACCCAGGAAGTTTTAAATGTATTTTTTAATATAGAAATTAGGTGTCAGGAACGATAAGGAGGATCCAGTGTCATGTCACTAGTCATCTTTAGGAGAACCTAACTATATGATTTTTAAGTAGGACAATACATATTTCATTGATATTGTTGGGGTTTTATTTTGCTGAACAAAAACTTATTTTCTAAACAGCTCTTCTTAAATTACTGTTTCAACACCTGGTGAAATGAACAAAATGACACTCAATGAATTCAGTGTGTTTTTGATCAGTTGGTGATTGGTGACTAATAGCAATGGCAGATATCTGTCTGGTGGTTAAATCTTCCAGCTGCCCTTTATTACACTGATGATACTCCATTTATTGCCACAGAGATGCTTACTGAAATGTGTTTTATTTGAAAAATGGCAATGCCTTTCTGAGGTTTAGTGGCAGAGTGGCAAAGGTGTCTCACTATGGCTCTAGAGCAGGGGTGTCCAACCTTTTTGTATGTGGGGCTGGATCATAAACTTTTTATTACACAGTGGGCCGGCAGGAGCAGGCGCTTGTGTGGCCTGTCCAGTCCTGCCATGGCCTGGGAGTGCAGGGGTCAAGGGACGCCACCTGACCCCACCGTGTCCTCCCTGCCACCTGGGTGGCCTTGAGGATGCTCCCACACCTGTGCGCCTGGGCTCAGCAGCCAGGGGGACATGCGGGGGACCCTACAGGGGAGTGTGGGATGTGCAGGGACTCATCCCTTCTTCCCCCACTCATTGATCAGCTGCCAGGGGACCTCTGCCCCACCCCCATGCCAGTGGCTGGGGGACTCCCTGCTTCCGAACCAGCCGTCAGGGGTACACCAACCAAAAAAGGTTGAAAACCCCTGGGCTAGAGAAACGGGTGTGCTTTAACCACCCTTATGCAATGGCGTGTTAGCTATGGATAGAACTGACATTGCTTTTCTCTCTTACAACAATATGTCAGGAGTTAGGCATTTGCTGTTGTTATCCATACCTGAGTATAGGTATTAAAGCTTTCATTTTCATCAGTTCCTCCAACCCCATACTTGAAATATTTCACACGATCATACCAATATTGGATCACAGCGCTCCACGATGCAGGCTTAGATGATTGCAGTATAGTTTCCCCGCAGCGGACACCTGAATGTAGAAGAACGCAGTTTTGCAGAATAGGACCAAGACAGGCAAAAAGTGTGTGGGGTTGACAGAGTGAGTTACAGCCAGAAGTGGGAGTAACCAGCAGGCTTCTCCAGTGCCTGCTCACAACGGGGACTTTCTGTGTTTCGCTTCCATAAAACAGTACTACTGAGAAGGGAAGAATAGGTCTGATCCAGTCTCAGTGAAGTCAGTGGAAGACGTCCCATTGGTTTCGATAGGCTTGGGACCACAGTTAGCTATTTGCCGGCTTATTAACCAAAGTATCTCACTGAAGATACTGGATGAGAAGAACAGATTCAATGTATATGGGTTTCTAGATAAACTCTAAGGCCACTTCTTTGGGAATTAAGAGGAGATTCAATATTATTTTAATAATAGGGGTCAGCAAATGAAACTGGTAGGTAGTAAGTTTAAAATTAACATAACAAAGCTCTTTTTCACACAGTGTGTAATTAAAGCATGGAACTCATTGCTGCAAGAGGTGGCTGGTGACAGTTTACCCAGATTCTTAAGCAGGTTGGAGAAATACATGGAGGAAAGGAAAGGGGCATCAGTAGCTATTGAGGACCCACACAAAGCTTACTCTCACTTCAAGCTCTTTTCTTTTCTCATGCCCTTATGGCAAGGTATTTAACAGAATTGGCAGAGCTGTTGGTATCTGATAGAGCCATGGTGCAAGCACTTTTGCTGTGGCCTCAAACTTGTAACCTCTGGACTGTCACCTAGGTGCCTTAGTGCCCACACCAACCCAACCCACTTCAAGGCCCTGATCAACATTAGGATGCTATCGTGGTAGGACATTGCACAGACATGTAGTAAGAGCCAGTCCCAGCCCTGATGATCTTAGGGTGCTTGTACACATGTCAGGGGTTTAGTTCTCAGGGCTTTATTCTATACTCTCTAAATTCAAACTGTGGGTTTTTAATTGAAACCCACCATTTCAGTTTAGGGGCTTCCATCATGTTAGGGCATGGGGCCCGATCCTTTTTTTTCTTTTTTCTGGTAGAGCCTGCCCGCAGCCGGGGGGTGAGCTGTTGGCAGGCCAAGCAGCCCCAGAGTTGCAGGACGCCCTCATCTTTCCCTCCACGGTGGTGGTGCCCCCTGGCTGCTAGTGGGCCAGGACTGCCCTAGCTTGAAGGCAGCACCCAGCAGATGCAACTCTTCCCAGAGCACGCCAGGGCTTCCAGTGAACTATCCATGCCACTTTCCCACTGCCTGGACCCACCTAGGAACAGGTTGGCTTGTTCCTGGGGCAGCACAGAGGGGTAGCAGGAGGGAAGCTGCGTGGGCTGGCACATGGAGAAGGTGGTGGGGACAGTGCACAGGGTGTGGGAAGCCTGGGTGAGCTCAGGAAAGCTTGGGCTCAGCAGGCTTACATTACAAAAAAAAGGATTGGGCCCCTCACCACTTCTGCCTTCAGAAGTGGCAAGGGGCCTGATCTTGTTTTTCAGCCAAGCTCAAGCTTCCCCAAGTCATCATCTGGCTTCTTGCTCTGGCTCCTAAGTGGGGATCAGGGAAAAGAAATACATCTAGAACCTGAAGGTCTGAGTGCCTGAGAGTTGTCAGAGGATCTCACCAGACTCATTGTTCTGAGTCCAGGGGTTGTTGGAGTTGTTATCATTTCTCGTGTGAGTGCAGCACTTCCTGCCTTAGCAGCGTCTGCAGCTGTTCCTACCAGCTGGAGCGGAGGGATCTCTTGACCTGTCCATATGAGCATCTTGCTGAAATACAGCTGCAATCTGCAAATCTCCATATTCTGTTTGCAACGCTTTCTTAGGTGTGGTGAGTCACCCTTCACTTACCGTTCACAGTCGTCTCTTCTTCAGGGCTGATGGTGTTTTGACACTTACTTGCCCATCTCTGAGCACTAGCTGCCACGTCAGGGTCCCATTCCTTAAGGAAACAGAGAGGCAAACACTCACACTGTGTAAGCACAGCTCATAACAGATAATGTAGAACTGAAAATGCATTTAGAGATATGGGCTTCCATCACTCAGCACAATCTTGTGCATGCCCTTGGAGTTAGCCCAATTCATGCCTGAGGACCTGACGGAGAACAGTCAGCTTTTATAATGCTGAAGATTACAACTGCCCAACTATTTATTAACATGGATAGATTCCTTAAAGAAAGCTGTTCAAGCCAGCACTCCCAAAGGCAGGACTTTGATTGCCAAGTCCACCCAAATCTCCATGTCTTGGAGGCTACCCTGGATGAAGGCATCTTATTGAAAAGGATATCATTTTTGATCATTCAAGTATGCTACTCCGATGTAAGCACTGTTACCTCTCAGCTCTGTGTTCTTGGGGAACCCTGGCACAGGACGCCACCTGTCTGACTCACAAAGGACTCAGCCCCCTCCCCACCTCTCCTTGAATAAGAACTCATTAGAGGACGGACTTACAAAAGACAATGAAGATGCAGTGGGAGATGCACTGAAAGCCCTCCAGACAAAGGTGATAGGAGTGAAGCAACTCCCCTGGTCTCATTTACGTGGGAGATGGGATGGGAAAACACCTTCATTAGCATTCAGGATGGAGAACAGAGAGTCCAAGGCAAGGACCACACTGAACTCTGGGACCAGAGAAGCAGGGGAGCACTGCATGATGGGGGACCCCTGCTCCAAAATGGGAGCCCAGGAAGGGTTGTTGTTCTTCAAGGGAGCGATCCTATGGGCTCAGGAGACAATCCCATTGCATATAAAAGGGGACAAAGGGGCCAAGATGCCCTCATGGCTGAACAGGGAAGTCCAGGAAAGCCTAAAGGCAAAGAAAGAGGTATATAGGCTGTGGAAATAGGGTGTAGCTACCAAGGAGAA